CAGTCTAGCCTGTTGGGGCACCATGCCCTGTCTCCAATGTCCACCCTCATCATTCCCTGGGGATCTTTCTACTCCCCTCCCCTGCTGTTCCGCTGCACCCCCTCCCCAGTGCCTTGCCTCGGCATGGCAATGCAGTCAAGACAGTCATCAACCCAAACTCAAAATCCTAGGACACACTTACAACATAGCCTATTGTGGATGGAAAAAAGACTAGAAAATATACCAAAGGTAATTCATAAGCAAGCAGTAAGTGGCAATGGAGTTAGGCATATCTGACCTCCTCTGTCTTCCCTGTTGCATAAGGCATGAATCATGGTCGCCCATTCTTCTTTACCTATTCTGATGCCAACTGTTTCTCCCAGGCCACTCAACATCTGTGCTCAGTTCAATAATTCCTTGAAAAAGCCAAACAGAATGCACAGACAATACTCACAATTAAGGGGGTTATTAGGGAAGTTAATAGTTGCCACAGTCAGGATCAGCAAACAGTAAGGGTACAGTGATTGGTCTCCTTGGCCAACAGCCAAGTCCCTCTCTGGTTCCCAATCACACGGTAGCCAAGTCTCTTCCCAGTTCTTGTCTTGCAGCATGTGATTCCAAGGGCCAGGAAACCCGCCAGCCCCCCACCCACCCAACCCTGGCCCCGGCCCCAATCACACTGTCCGACAGGTTCCACAGTGTCGGGCTAGATGAGGAGAAGGTGTCCCACAGTCTCAGCACTGCTCGAGTCTCTGTGCCATCGTCTCTGATGCATCTTCAGACGGCGATCTCCAACGTGCTGCCTCCTCCAGGGTTCTCAGGGTTTCCCTCTCCATTGCTGCTTCAAAGATGGCTGGTCTGTACAGCCAGAGGGGGTGGTAATGAAAACAGACCAATCCACTTAGTGTTACACCGCCCTACTTGCATAGTCCCGCCTAATCACTTGGTGGGAATGACAGACTTGGGTAGAAGGGCCAGGGAGATGTCGGACAGGGTACGACATGACAAAATAATAATAATTTATAAATTATCAAGGGTTCATGAGGGACGGGGTCAGGGAAGGAGAAAAATGAGCTGATACCAAGGGCTCAAGTAGAAATAAAATGTTTTGACAATGATGATGGCAACAAATGTACAAATGTGCTGGACAAAAGGGATGGATGGATGGATTGTGTTAAGAGTTGTATGAGGCCCCAGTAAAATGATTTTTAAAAAAGAAAGAAATTTCACCCCATCACAAGGTGCCACTCACAGGATGAGCTCCTACTTTTTGCCTTGCTCCCCAGCTTCAGACCCACGTGTGGCACCTCGACTTCTTCTAGGTGACGCATTCCACACAGTAAAAAGTAACAACAACAACAACAAGAAAAACCCAACGGATTGCCTCAAGTTGATGCCGACTCCCGGGGACCGCACGGTAAAGAAGACATGCCCCTGTGAGTTTCCAGAACTCTGACGCTGCAACTCCGATAGAAGCAGAAAGCCCCGTCTTCCCCTCAGAGGGGCTGGTGGCTCCAAACTGCCGACCTTGCAGGTTGCAGCCCACCAGGTAACCACTACTCCACCAGGGCTCCACATAGTAAAGTATCCACCAAATTAGAACCATGGAAGTAAATACTGAGGAATAATGATCCCTTCTAAGGAATAGCTCTTAATGTGCAAGACTGCAATGCGGCTAATAGGCTGAAACAAACTCACAGAAGGAAGAAAAAGGCAAGAACTTTAACTGCGTACTGCATCCATCAGCAGGATGTTTTCAGAGGTGGGATTCTCGGCTCTTCCCAGGGCTCTGCTGCCAGCTGGAGGCTGCACAGGTTTCTTGCATGTAACTAAAGGATCTATCGCCTAGCAACCTGAAAGGCAGGTTACACTTTAATTCTTCCTCCAGAGGGAAAAAGCAGAACAGAGTCCAAACAAATTTCCCTGGGTGCTTCTTTTTTGTATATTGCACGGTTATTCAGGTAGATCGAGAACTCTTTTGCATACCAACAGTGAGCAACGTACTCTGACATAAACCAATGTTGGGGATCCCTCACGGAACCACTGGGGAAATTTTTTAATCATAGGAAAACCTCAGCTTCTGAAGTGTGGTTCAAAGCCCACTGTCACAATCACGCATATAAAGAAATGAAATAGACCGTTGAAGCATTATCACAAAAATTCTGGGGAGAGTGTGGGCCTAAACGAAAAAGTGGATGACTTTATCTGTGGGGCGCGGGGGGAAGCAGGGAAGAGAAGAAACCGTTTGAGACAAGTTTTGAAAAGGTTCTCCAGGCTAACGAAGAAAAAGCACTCCTAAGGTATGAAAAGGGTCTATTCCAGAGACTGCAAAGACTGGAGCAGGTGAGTGGAGGCCTAGGCAGGAGGGGATGGTGAGGGCTGCGGGGAGAGGTGCAGGGGCCGGACCACAAAGGGCCTGTCCTGCCAGCTGACTCTGCAGGGCACACATGACTGGAGCGCTCTCTCTAGGGAGGAGTAGGGGAACAGCTGCGCACCTGGCTAATTCAGCCTGCAGATGGCGTGGCAAGTGTGGTGAGACAAGGGAACACTGACGGGCAGGCATGAGGAACTCGGAGAGCAAGCGTGGAAGACAAAGGACACATACATGAGATGCTACTGAAGGTGAGGTATTTTACACCTTACATAGTCAAAAGCACCCTTAACTTATTGCTATCAATTTGATGCCTATTCATAGCGGTCCTGTAGACAGAGTAGCACTGCCCCACCAGACTGTAAGGCTGTCAATCTCCACAGAAGCAGACTGACCCATCTTTCTCATGAAGAGTGGCTGATGGATTTGAACCATCCACCTTTTGGGTGTCAGTATAGCATTTAATCACTATGCCACCACTGCTCCCAGGACACTCCGTGTTGATGTTGGTAGGTGCCTTCAAGACAATTACCACTCATGGGGACTGTATGCACAACCAGCCTCACAAGCATTCCTCTGTTTGAACCCACTGCTGCGGTCGCGGTGTCAATCCACAAGGGATAGGGTCTTCTTTTCACGGTCTCTCTACGTCACCCAGAATGATGTCCTTCTCCAGGGGCAGGTCTCTCCTGACAACACGTCCAACGTACACGAAGCGAAGTCTCCCCATCCTTGCTTCTAAGGAGCATTCTGGCTGCACCTCTTCTTCGGGGAATTACCAATGCCACAGTCCAAACGCATCCAGTCTCCTGTGGCCGTCCTTCCAGCTTGTCACATGCAGATGAGGCGATTCGAATACCAGCGCTTGGGTCAGACGCACCACGTAAACCTTCAGAGTGACATCTGTGCTCTTTAACACTCTAAAAAGCACCCTTATTGTGAGTAAAAGGAAAAAAATACCAAGTTGCAGAAGCGGCAAGGTGAAAGGCGGCGCGGCGTCCCACAGGTAACCATTGAGCTGACATACGTACTCAGGTATGCATACACTGGAGCGCACCCTCGGTTTGATGATTTTCTACAGCAGACATTTTACAGGGAAGATCACAGGGGCTTGGACTTAGAAAGTTTCCGATTTTAATCATGCTCTATTGCGGTTTACTCATTGGCTGTGTGGCCTTGGACACGTTACTTAATCTTCTTGAGACCACCAACTCTTTTGGAAAGACAGGGAGAATAATCCTATGCCTGCTGGACAGGGTTAGTGGGAAAACTGAATGAGAGATGTTTAAATTTACTAACAGGTACTGTGTGCCCTTAATAATGCTAGGCTGCATTCACCTTTCCTTGACGTACACGTTCCATGCCCAAAAGACGGGCACAGACCGAAATGCTGAAAACTCAAACTCAAACAAATGTATGTTCAGAACAGTACGCTTCGTGACAATCAAAAGACAGAAATGTCCACCAACATAGGACTACATAAGCAAAATTGGGTAGGTCCATGCGATGGAATATTATTTGGCTGTAAAAAAGGGTAAGCCTCAAAAATAATATGTGAAACTTAAGTCACACATCTTGTATGATCCCATGTATACGTAATGTTCAGAAAAGGTAAATCCATGGAGAGAAAGCAGATGGGCCGTGGCTAGGGGCTGGGCAGAGGGAGGAATGGGGAAAAATGCTTAATTGTCTCAGGTTTTCCTTGAGGGGTGCTAAAATATTTTGGGAGTGACATGGAAGTGGTTGTTGCCCATTTATCATGGAATGCTTCAATTTTAAGTGGTAAAAGCTCCATGATCTTTTTTAACTAAAGATAGATAGATAGACAGATAGATATGAGTTCTTATCACAGTGTGATTCCTGTATCCCCAGAACTTCATAAACAGTAGCCATCTATGATTAGTAGGCTCACATTATTAGAAGTACAGATTTTAGAGCAGGGAGGTCTGGGTGTAAAGGCAGGCCCTTCCACTTACTGACTGGGTGTACTTGGGCAATTTTAACTTCTCTGTGCCTCAGTTCTTGCGTCTGTCAACTGGCAGTGGCAAGAGTACCTACCCTCGAGCAGAGATGAGGAGCATCACTGAGTTCATTCAGATGCAGTGCTGAGAAGGGCGCTGACCTGGCCCTGGTAAGGCTGCAGTAAGCACTGGCTTTTAGTTGCATTATTTTTATTTCAATTGCTACTCATGCCTGGATGACCATACAAATAAGCGCTAATCCTACTGAGAGCATGAGAATAAAATTTGAATCAGTTTTTCCTCTGTTCCGCTCCATCATGAAGAGCAAGCACAAAGGCGACCCTCCCTGACTCAGCATACAGTGAACCCCTTAAAAGTACTCACCAATGTTCCCCTTCTGGAGCAACCCTGGTTCGGTAGGAGAATTCTCACCTTCTAAGAAGAGGCCAGGTTAAACAGCTAACCATGCATCTCAGGGACAGCCACCACCACCTGTCAGTGGAGCCCATATGTTGTCTGTGATGCTAACAGGTTTCAGGGGAACTTCAAGAACAGGACAGACTAGGAAGAAAGGCCTGGGAATCTGCTCCCAAAATCAGCCAGTGAAAAGCCTTGGGACCTCAGCAATGCCATGCACAAACCGTCATGTAAACAGCACAGGATCGGCACAGCATCAGGGTGTGCGTGGGTCTCATGATTAAAGGGCAGCTCACGAGGTGACCCATTAACTGAACCATCACACCCAGAGAAACCATTGAAGCTCACAAAGTTTACAAGGTATAGAGTAGGTTGGAAATACATGGATGCAGGCAGAAGCAGCAGCAATTGGGAGAACATTAAAAGTAAATAGCATCCCCTCCCCTGACAAATTTATTTTCCTAGCTGAAACGTAATGTACAATACAACGACAATTTTTTTTTCTAGCTGAAATGTAGTGTACAATACAACGACAAATTTATTTGCCTAGCTGAAACGTAATGCACAACACAACGAAGGCACGGCAGAGTGTTATGTGATGTTTAAAAATACTGACATACAATAATGATTTTTTTAAAACCTTGAATTGATAGTCGCTGAAGCTTTCTTTGTAGAAAGCAAAAATGGTTACAAGTCTCCCAGGAAATTAATGTACCCTAAATGAAAAGACTGGTTAAAAGGTTTCTCAAATGAAACACTGCCAGGGACTGATTCCTTTTCTGGCATGTTGTCTGTGAGACCCACTCGGGCCATTTCTATGTCTAGGAAAGACAACCATGCTAATGTGTGTTCCATTACCCCAAAAAGACAGTTTTAATGCAGTTATAGCAGCAGTTACATTAGATGTGGGAGCAAGGAGGGGGCAAGTGCTCTAACGTGTCAGCAAAAACCATCCTTCTAGTCAACACACACAGCCTCGGTGGGGCAATAGTTAAGTGCTCAGCTGCAACTGAACGTGCTTGGTTCAAACCCACCCAGTGGCGCTGAGAGAGAAAGCCCGGGGACCTCTACGACTGAAGAGCCCAGGCTGAGAAGACCTTCTGGGCAGTTCCACTCCTTCATAGGGTCTTTAGGAGCAAATCCACTCAACAGCACCAAACGACCACTTGTTTCAAAAATGGGAGCAACACTGATTTGCTGCTAGGCCTCGGTAGGGACACAGGGGCCTGAGTGACACCTAGGGCATGGATTTGATTGCTACCTCCAAGGTCAGCCATTCAAAACCACCAGCTGATCCATGGGAGAAAGACAAGATTTTCTACTCCCATAAAGAGCGACAGTCTTGGAAATCCACAGAGGGAGTTCCACCCCATCCTATGGGGTGACTCAGAGTAGGAAATGACCTGATGGCAGTGAGTTAGCCGTGGATTTGGACTTGAAAGTAATTGGGGACGAAAGAAACAAAGTTCCATTTGTTCTAGACTGATGATGTGCTGTGTGCCTACAGGCAGAACAAAATGAACCCTCTTCTTGAGTAACTTGAACTGTGATATCAGCCAAGAAATCCACCTGCTGCTCTCCACACCTCCCCCCACCCTCCTTTCTCCATCTTCCCAGCCAGTGCCCAGGAGAGGTGGACAAAGTGCAGTACCCAGGAGACTAGCGCTGAGGAGGAGGACAGTTACAGGGTCTGAGGACCCCTGACCCTTCCCTCAAAAAGCTCTACTGCAATCAATCAAAACATCCCTCTCTGTCTGTCTCTCTCTCTCTCTCTCTCTCACACACACACACACACACTGATATTTCAGAAGGCTAAGCAACTGACTGCAGTTTCACAACTTTCTCTTTTCCTCCCACTTCAGGGCAGTGATTTGTGATTTGCAAGACAAATACCCGAAATTGCTCAAAGCCCTCAACCAGGGAGAAGTGAGCAGAAGAAAGCCGTGCTTACTCTCCCAGCTTAGCCCAGAGAGCCAGCGACACCCTCAGGATGACCTCTGAGCCTTCGAAGAAGACTGAGTCCCAGATCTTCAGCACGGTGTGCTTGGGGAGGCACGTGGCGAAGAGGGTCAGGAACCACTGCATGGTGAAGACGTTCGTCAGCGGGGGCTCGCAGCCACCTGAAAGAAAGACACACTGAGTTCCGTCGGGAGCGGTGGTTTACCAGACAGACAGACACTTCCTTGCAGTCTTCATGCCCGGCAAGCGGCACTAACATTTGCTAACGGATTTCCCCGCAGCTCTCAAATTTGCTTTCCTTTGAGCTCTTCCCTGTAGGCACAGGTGTGTCTGTTCACGGAACAAGACCCGCCCAGGTTTTTCAAGATAGTTGAGAAACGTAAACCTGAAGTTCACTTTGGCTCTCCCTATTGTGGGCTGCTGGAAATGAAGGAGAATGTTTTCCTCACAGGTGATAGGATTTTTAAATCAAAGATTTTAGCTTCTCAAAAGGGCTAACAACAACAACAACAAAGTCGTGACTTTTGAGCCAAAGCCTGATCATGGCGACCCCTGACCTGCACTTTAGAGAGTCTCTCTCCGGAGGTACCTCGAGGCAGACACAAACCTCAAAGCTTTTAGGGAGTAACTGAGCTCTTCAACCATTTGGGCCACCCAGGGACTCCTCAAAGAAAAAACATCAGCATTTCAAACTCCTGTAAAGTCCACTTTCACTTCAGTTTCACTGATAAGAAGCAATACGTGACAAAATGCTGGTCTAGTTCTTAAATTAGATTAAACGGTCTGGAATCCAGCTAGCATAGACATGTCTGAGATTTTTTTAAAGAACACATACATGTTTTTAAAGAACACTCCCTATTCCTACGATAGCTAAGTGTATGCTATAATAAAACAAAACCTTCATCTTTAGGAATGTAGACTGATTCCCTCTCCAAAGTACAGGCAGTACGTGCATTGGCCCAGGAGGACGATGAGATTTGCTCCTCCGCAGGCAGTGACCAGCCCTCGCCTGAGCAAGAGGAATTGCATGGTGCAGACTGCAGTGTGAGGGCACTCCTTGTAGCTGAGTGCAGGGCAGAGCATGAGGGGGTGGGAGGGGTACAGGACACTCAGCCCAATCGCGTATGTCTGACTGCAGCATCAGTAAAGTGGCTCTGTTTGAAAGCATCACCAATTCTACGCAGGCACACAGGCACACTGCACAGCAAATTAAATCAGAAGACTGCTCAAATAGCTCAAAGGGTGCAACGGATTGAATCGGTCCCTCCTACAACATGTGTTGGAATCCTAACCCCTGTACCTGAAGATGGAGTCTCATCTAATACAATGAAATCACCTTCCATATTGTAATCTCCTGCAATGTGATCAATTTAAGCACTTGAGGTCCTACTGGTGTAGGATGTCTCCTAAACCCGATCGCTTCTGAGTTATCTAAAGAAGAGCAGGGACACAAACAGGAGTCATGAAAGGGCAGTGACTGAGCAGCGGACTGCTAACTTCAAGGACAGCAATTCAAACCCGCCAGCCGTTCTACAGGAAAAAGACACGAGGCTGTCTTCTCCCATAAGGCTGGGAGAGCCTGTGGACCAGCTCGATTCTGTCTTACAGCGGCACTGTGAGTTGGAAAGATAAACACACTAAGGAAGGCAGATGCCATGTGAGGATCATCGACCACGCAATGACATGGCCAGGGCTAACAACGAGGGAAAGAATCACATAGTGGAGACCCCAATTTGGACCTTTAGTGTCCAAAACGAACTCTGAGAAAATAAATTTCTGTTCTCTAAAGCCACTCATTTTGGGTATTTGTATCACAGCTGCCCTAGGAAACTAGGACAGGTGTCTCAGTTCTCTAACGCTGCTGTAGCAGAAATACCCAAAAAAAAAGGGATTCTCTCACAGTTTAGGAGGCGAGAAGTCCAAATTCGGGAGGGGGGGGGGTGTACGCGCAAAGCGCATGCTCTCTAAGGCAAGGTCCTTATCTCCTTTGAACATCTCTGGGCCTATGCTCCTTGGAGATGTCCATGCGTCTTGGCTTCCCCTGGGTATATACAGAAGCTTCTCAGCACAGAGACCCCAGTGTAAAGGACATCCTTTGTTCTGAGCTCTTCTTTCTTGGTGGTGATTAGTTCCCTCTGATCTCCGCTCATAAAGGTGAAGATTTATAACATAAGATAATTACATCAAATCACAAAATGGAGGGTAATTACACTATCCTGAGAATCATGGTCCACCTTGACACATATTTGGGGTGGAGGGGAGCCACCCCTAACACACAATTCAATCCCAGAAGGAAATATTTAGAACCTTTGGAGTACTCACAAAAATGTCCCCAAAAATCCTTTAATATTTTCCCAGATTTAAATGTATGGGCCAGACCAGACTGCAATTGCCTGGCCTACAGCATGAACTGGAAACTATTCACAGTAAACACTCATGCTTCCGACTGCTCTTCTGGCATGCGAAGCTCAGCCCGGAAGGTGCAATCAGTGGCTGACTCTGACAACTGCTAAGAGCCCACGGGACAGTGGTGACACTCAGAGCTGCCTGTGGAGCCATCTCCATCATTGCCCCGTCCCAGGGCCTTCCTTCAGTGGTCCAGACTCTACCTGGAGATGAAGGAGCCTTTCTCCAGCAGGAACCGGCCGGTTCATCTCAGTGAAACTGAGATGCCCAGAACAGGACTAAGTAGAAGGAACATCGACATTTCAATCCACAGGCTGCTTGTATCTCCTACAGGCTTAAGAAGATGCCACTCCCTCCCAACCCCTCAATGGTTCAGACAAAGCCGCGGTGTGAGCTAAATTGCAACTACAGATCCGCTTTCATGAACATGCTACACTGAATGTGCCCCTCACTCCCCCATCTAGAGGGCAGGAGATCATTGTAGTTGTTCATCTGATATGGTTGAAGTATTAGGCTCTCAACCAACTTCCCAACCATGACTATGTGGGTTAGCATGTGGCCCTATGTTTAATCTGCTTTGTTTTCATTCTCTTTATAGAAATCGATTTCATTGTGCAAATGCTCATCAATAGTAATACTTGGAAAATGACCTCCACTCAAGCTGTAGGCACAGGAAGAGGTAAAACATGCTCAAAGGTATAATAGCGCTGAATCACTACCTCCACTTTCTTTGTTTGCAGTTCTCTGAAGAGTATCCAAGTGCTGAGATAATTCAGGGAGCTTCATTCTCAAGAGGTCTCGGAAGACAGCCATATCCACAGACAGAGCCCGGAGATTATTGACAAAATAGCTCTCAGGAAGTACCTTATCAATAAGGTAAATCATAATCTGAAGAAAAAGATAAAGAACAAGACTGCTTCAGGACTACCAGGACGTTAACAATAGAACGATCAGGTCCCAGTTGCTGAAGAGCAGTTAGTCAAAGACACGATCCTTTCAACGCCTACACTCCGTGTAAGCAGCACGGAGCTTAATTACCTAAGTAACGCAGACCTGAGTCTGCTGCTTCCTCAAACTGGTAGATAGTGCCCTGGACCTGCAGTCACCGTATGAAGAGCTGTGACTGCAGGACCTCAGCTGCTGTGGGATGAGAGAGCACACGCCCCCATCAGCCGCCCCACGGGGTCTCCAGATTGGTCCCTGGATGGCAGAGCGGGTTCACCACCAAGAACCAGCCTGTCATAAAATATCCCCATGGCAGCAAGTCTCGAGATTCACTTACCATTAGACTGGGTTATCGGAGCAACTGAACCTGGCTTTTTACCCAGTCTTCTCCCGAGATGTTTCAATAGGCTGTGCTTGAACAACTGGTGCGTTTTCAACCCTTTTAAAATCGGAATTTCTTTCGTAAGACTGTCAACACTGGTTGACAAAATGTGTCAACACAGCAACGCAGGTTCATGTTTATCTTTTCATCCTGCTTCTTCTATTGGTGTTGCCTTTTCCAGAATGTCAGGAAGCACGAGTGTGACCCACCGAAACACACGTGAGGGCTGCATACCTGGTTCTTCCCTGTCGGCAGACACACTCTACACACGTCCATTTCATTCCCTGGCGCACACGTCAAACAACATTCAAAACAAGATCATGGCGGGTTCTGTATGTTGGTGGAGAAGTAGCTGTCTATTTTCTAAAAAAGCTAATTAGTTTATGTGTTTTTGCCAGTTTTGGCAACATACATTTCACATATCCTACATCTCACTAGTTCAATCGTTTTCATAAGGTCTGTGCAGCCAGCACGAGGATCAATTCCAGGGTGTTTCTTCTTCCTTGCACCTGTTATTAGCTCTGCATTTCCCACCAACCTCCCCTGCCAAGTCCCTTGGAAACGAGTAGTCCAGTGGTTGTCTAAGGTTACCTGTCCTGGGTCCCACACACAGAAAAACATAGAGAATTAACACAAAACATAAATGGCCCAACAACAAGGACAGACCAAAACAGAAAAAACCTCAACTGAAAACAAGGTAGAAAATATTTTAAAAACTGGAATAATTATCTGTTGGATCAAGGGGGAGATCAAATGACAAAGGGTCACGTTTAGATCTGATGGCAACTGCATTCATCCACCCTCCTGACAACAAGGCCTGGGTTTGGGCTTTCACTGTTATCCAGTCTTTTGCTAACTGGGTGTTCAGAATTGAAGCTCTAAGAACGTTCCTTCCTCTGGGTTTGCGTATTACTTAAAACTCTTAGATCACATAGGTTGGTGTACTTCTTCTGCACGGACTTAGCTGATGCCTCACTTAGATGACGGCTTGTTTTAAGATGAGCCTTTAAGACCCCAGACGCTATTCTTATGATAACCTGGCACAATGCCTATAATTTTACTTTCAGCATATCACAAAAAATCTCATTTTCAAATATACACATACATATACATATATGCCAGCTTGCTGAGACCATTATCTTGTCATTCCCAGCCTGCAATTGTTATCAATAGGGCCCTATCTTTGAATAAATTGGAGAGGTGAGGACATAAGACCTAGAATGCCCATCCCCAAACACCCAAACCTCCCAGTGTCTTCTCCTGCTACGTCCAGAGTCATCACGCCGATTCCTACTCAGAGTGTACCTAAAGAGGGTTTCCAGGGCTATAAATCTTTATGGGAGCAGACAGCCTCATCTTTCTCCCACAAAGAAGCTGGTGGATTTGAACCACCGAGCTGGCAGTTAGCAAGCCAACAAGTAAGCCACACTGCTACCAGGGCACCTTAGACAGTGTGACTCTATAGGGAGGGCCTAGGGCTGCTAATTGGAAGGTGGGTGATTTGAACCCACCAGGATAAGAGAAAGATGGCTGCTCATGAGCTTTTAAGACTTCAATCACTATTCATCAAGATATGATCATGAGCCCCCATGACCAGTGACTCACTCTCTTCAAGGTGTCTGGCTATGTATAAGAAGTTTTCATAACTTTGCCTAACCACATTCATGGCTGTTATTTGCAGCAAAGGTAAATACACATGTACAAATATTCCATCAAACCTACATATATTTGTGAGTCTAGTGTCCCACTCTCCAACCCACACAGATCAACACTACTGCAGGGTTGTGTGTAAAACAGCATTTGCCTCTGTTCCTTTCAACAACTTGCAAACCTCCCAGTGCCTTCCCCTGCCTCCATCACGTTGTGAGCAGCCTCCCTGAGGGTGTACTTCACCCAGGCTAACACATGTCGATGGGCCAGATGCACCTCCTTTGGTATGTACATGTGTCTCTGAAGTAAAACTGAAAATGAAAATAAAACTACCATAGTTCCATTTATAAACATTTTAAAGGATATTATTCAGAGAATCGTGGTTGCGTGTATTTGTAAGTATGTATTTATGGCTCTCAAGTAAGGTTTAAATTGTTGTGAGGTACAGGATTGGCTCTTCAGTCTCAATGGTTGGCCAATCCCAGCTCTCGCCCACAGCTTTCCCTCCCTTCCTTTCTCTCTGTCCGCGCCCCGCCCCCCCAGCCCCACAGGCCATCAAAGAATGTGTCATCTAGTGTGAAAAATCTTTTCTGGACTTCTTACAACAGCGACCTCATATTCTTTTGTGATTGATTAATTTCACTCAGCATAAATCCAGGAGTCTCCTTAAGACTCCTGTTAGGACAAAACTTACTGCATGAAAATATTATCACCTTGGAAACAAACGCTCAGCAACAGGAAAAGCAGCACAGCCGAGCCTTAAACAAGCTGAGCTGGAACTGCTCGGGTCCACTTACCTTTCATGCAGATCCCTCACCCCACCCACCTGTGGCTCCAGTGTTGCGTGTATCCAGCTTAATTCAGAAATAATTAGCATCACTGGTAACACAGAGCGCAATACGATAGCAAAAGGGGGAGGAAATCTGTTCATAAGAGGGCCCAAGTAGCTCCACCTCCTGCTCTTCACTGGTCACCTGCACAGTCCGTCTGTGTGGAGGGAAGTCTGGAGAGGGAGGTGAGCCAGGGAAGCAGAGGTTCCCCGCAGAGTGGGCTGGTGGGAACCTCGCATTACGGGCCACCAGACCACGACGGTAATGCTCAAGGCTCACAGTGCTGCTCCAGTGTACGCTGTAATCTAAGTGAAAGTTCTATAACATGAAGGGAGATACCTAAGTCTTGTGAAAAAAAATACAAACTCAAAACACATGACAATGAGTAAAACTTTTTCGATGATTATAGTAATTCTTGCGACTGAATGAAATTCTCTTCTGAATACATCTTACTGTCTGACTTCAGATAGCAGAGACCAGTCACTCATTCCACCCACTACTGCTTTCTAAGACCAGCTGTCAGAAGTCAAGGGAAAATAATTTAAGAAAAATAAGGGAGTTACAAAATTTAAACAAATAGTTTTGGGGGTTTTAAAAAATAAGTTACTACGGAAAAATATGGTACAGAAAATGCATAAAAATATCTGACCTGCAGCTAATGAACTATATGTTTCCTTACTAATCAGAACTTACAGAAACCAAAAGAGGCTAGTGGGAAAAACACTGACCCTCAACTCTTCCCTGTGCATCCACAGAGTTTCTCCAGGACCCAACTTTCCCCTGAATGCTACTGAACGTCTAAGGGCACGATCTATACATTCCCGAACCAGGAATATGGCATCGCAGCCCACAGGCTCCTTTTTGGGGGTGGGGCACAAATATAAATATTCAGGTTTTGGGTTCTGTGTAAGCCATCTTTTTAAGTGAATTCCTCATTTCTCAAGGTTTCCTCTCCTGACTTGATAAGCACAAAAAAACGATAACTCTTCTTCCCCCTCCCGACAGCCTGCTTTTAATCTTAATCTCTCGGTCTACCTTTTCCACAGAGAAGCTCCCATTTCACAGTCTTTCATATTACATCACAATAAAATAAATGGCACGTGCTGACAGACTCAGAAACAAAACTGCTTCTTAATAGAAAATATTCTAAACTCCTATTTCATTTGTCATTTTTTTCCATCTGATGAACACATATCTTAAAGTCTGTTTCCTTAAATACATGACCAGAAAAAGAGAGAGGCTGAATCCAGATTTACATCTTGTTAGGCTGGAATGAGCAATTAATTCTATCTCATAATGTCTACCGCACTAGGAGGAACATGTGTTTATTTGTCCATCTCACATTCGCACAGTCAAACACACGTGACTCCCTCCACCCCTGAACAAGTACAAAGAGTAAGTCTCCCTTTCATACATCATAAAGCACCGCAATCAACTGCAGTTCAAAAGTTCAGCTATGAATCAGGAACCCCACAGTGCCCTACGCAGACAAGTCTGTGGCCACCCTCCACATCTGAAGTACTTCCGTTCTTACCAAGAGGAGATTTCGCATGGTTTACAAACGCCCATTTAGATCAATGAGCTAAAATCGCTAAGCCCCATGTCCAAGGGTTTCCAGGTGTTTATTATTTTATTAATAGAGGTCCTAGAACTCAAAGGTTAAAAGATGACATTGTCGTAATTTTTCTCCACGCAAAAATCTTCTATCATAAACACTCCCTGCTAAGTAAGTCCGCCTCCTACATCCTCTGACCCAAATGTGGAAGAGTAAAGCAACCTAGTGAGTTCCAACCAGCATCGTCCTGACTGAGGTGGCAGGCAGTTTTAAGTTAGCCCTTAACGGGCATGTCATTTCCAACATGGGGTTAAGCATCTATAACTTAACCTCCGGCTTGCTCTCTTCTGTTGCTCACTAGGAGGGAAGCGAGTCACCGGGGTGAGATGAAAAGTGTCAAGTGGCAAGGAATCCTGGGAGGCCTCTGGTCAACCGCCAACCAGGAGCAGAGGCCCTAAGGCCAAGAGCCTTCAAAGAATTGCACTGTGCCAAACAGCCAGGTGAATAAACTTGAAAGTCAGCGCTCCAGTAATTAAGTCTTCGGATGCTACTACAGCCCTGGCCAACAGTCTGAACGCGGGACCTTGAGCCGAAAGCACCCAGCGGAGCTGGGCAAAGTTTCTTGCCTCAAAGAAACTAGGAGATAAGAAAGGTTTGCTCTTTTAAGAAGCTCGTTTTGCTATTTATCAATTGATAACGAATACAATGGGTAGTTCATTGGCTTTAAAACATATGTCTGATTAAGTGAGGCACCTTTTTTGGCAGCTGGATCTAAACGAGAAGCCTTCCCTTTAGCCTTGCTTTACCCTGGGGGAAACACTACGAGGGGTGACTGCAGCCAAATTCAGTGCCACGGAGTCAATTCTGTCTCTCGGGGACCCTACAGGGCAGAGTAGAACTGAGCCATAAGTTTCCAAGGCTGAAAATCTGTCTGGGAGCAGAGAGCCTTGTCTTTCTCCCACGGAGGAGCTGGTGGATAGCAGCCCCTTACGTACCCGCTACACCCCTGGGGGCCCTTTGGAGGAACTTCAAAGGTGCGGCCAACACCCCAGAAAGGGCGGGACCTAGAGGAAGAGAAATGATGCTTCCAGTTCTTCACTTGAGGGAGAATTCCAGTTGCCTTCTTCAGAGCCAGATACTCACTTTCAGGGCATCTCCTTCATGGCCTTCCATCACTTCCAAAATCAGTGCAGCCAGGATGTTAAAGCCTTGGCAGTACCCGACAGTCTTGTTCCACCGGGCGTATGCCAGCAGGACCCGCTTCAGGACAACTCTGTCCTGCTCTGCCTCCTGGCCACAGTACGAACTGCAGCCCGTGCGGTGAAGATCCTAAAATAAAAGCAACGCAATGCCGTACCGTATCTTTTAAAGACTTCTTAGATCCCCAAAAAGCCTTTCAATATTTCTTTGTCTCAACATTAAGCAGAGTGAAATCACCAGTGTGGGATTTCACTGTTTGAACCCATATGTGCCTATATGCATGTGTGGAACCACTAGCTGTAGCTAAATTCTAATATGATGTCTAAGTGGCATTTGCCAGGGAAATTTCAGCCAAAATGTCCACTTAAAGTGCTTCTAGAATTAACACAAAATGTGACTCAGAACTAAGCAAGACTGTACTATACTTTCATGTAAACTGACAGTCTGTTCTAATAACATGCTTTAGACAAAACATGTGTGGCAGGTGCCAGCATTCTTCTTTTCCATGGAACATGGCACATGTTTAGCTACCAAAACTTCAAAAACATCTCGAGGAAATCAAGATAGCTAAAAAGGTGCATTCTGTATCATAGATCCCAAGACTGAAAAATCACTCCATCTACCCGAAATGTTTTCGAGATCTGTGCGAGAGGGACAGACATGTCCGCTGCACTCTCAAGAGGGAACGGCCGTAACTTAGTGACCCAGCAGAGACTGATTCCCAGGGGGTGAAGTCGTTTTACTGAAGCAGCATTTACTTCGGTGAGAAAACCAGAGTCTCTGCGTGATCGGATCGCTGTAAAATCTGCATGGCTTTCAGTCACAAGCTAAACGGAAAGAAAATGGTTCAAAGACAAAATACCTCATCTCTGTGGCATGCTGAAAAATCAAATAAATAGATAACATGTGGATGTGTTAAAAGGCTTTTCAACACACAATGTAAAGTTCTTTTTTGTTGTTGTTGTAAGTGTGTGTATGAAACAGATAAAATCAGATCAGAAAGTAGATCGCTTAGTTTGTGCTTCCTCCTGGGGAAAGAACAACAAATCTTCACATATGCCCAAACGCTGGCAAGTCTGCTGGTTACCAAAATTTGGAGAAAACCATTTTCCTCTAAAAGCTTCTGTTGTAACATACCCATATAAATTGAAAGCCATGTGCCTAGAGGCTTACGTAAGAGAGTGATGCTGGGTGCAAACAGAGCCAGGGCCCTTGGCCTTTAGCACCAGGTTCTAATCAGCTGGAATAATCCAGGAGGGCAACACACAGCTGCCTCTACGGCCAACCTGATCACTCCACCACCTGGTTTCAAATAAACTTGCCAGCCAACCTACCTTTATAAACAGTGAAAAAAATCAAAGAACTTAATAAGAATCCAAATATGCTAAAAAATGAAATATATTTCAACTTCTGTGGCTTTCATGTAAAAATCCAGTTGGTAGCACTGACCCAAGCTAAAGGAAAAAAAGGGAATTTCCGCCTCCTAGCATCTAAAGATGAATAAATGGAGTGTAAATGGAAGCTCGTTCACACACTCGCTTCTTACTGACATCACTGAACTGATGAAGAGAAGACACAAAACTCTCCATCAAAAGTAAAAAAGCTACACACGAATGAAATAGGCAGAAAACACAGACATTCAGACCGCAAGGCAGAGATCACTTGATCCTCTCTCCAGCCACACCTGGCTGTCGGAGTCTTCATGCCAGGTTAGGATAATACACCAAGTGAGAGGCATTACCTTGACTATCTGGATTCCCATCGAATCATCATCGGGATTACTCCTTTCATTGAATGTGAACCGCAAGGTCTTGTCCCAGTCAATGGCTATACTGTGCAAATAGTGGTCTGCCAAGGTCAACCAAACCTAAAACATCACATTAAGAAGAATACATAATTTCAACTTTCTTTGTTGGAAAAGCAGTTGCACCCAAGAAAAATATGGCAACTGTTCCTAGATCAGATACAGCCCCCCTGTAGACGTCTACAAGAGCCTGTTGAAATGTTTGCTGTCCTGGAATTAAACTATGTAGGGGCTTTCATTTATTCTTTCAATCAATAATCTGTTGAAATATTCTTTCGAGTTATGTTCACTAAACATCTGATGTGTCAAGCAGTAATCCAGGCACTGAGGATACTGTTAAGGAAACATTCTTTTTAATTACTTCAGTTCACTGAATTAGTTTGCCATGTTATCTTATAAGCTTGTTATATTTAGCTCTGAATTGTTATTATGGACGGACCTGTTCCCTACCAGGTTATTCACAAAGAAGGGGCCTTGTCACGGCGATGGAATGAGCCCTTCTTTTCCACCACCCGTCTCACAACCACTGCCATTGAGTTGATACTCATGGACACCCCATAGGTCAGAGTGAAATTATCCCATAAGCTTCACGGAAGCAGATTGCCACAGCTTCCTTTGAGGAGAGGCAGATGGGTCCAACCGCTGATCTTTCAGTTAGCAGCCCCACAGCACCTAACCACTAGAGCCCGGGTAGAACCAGGGTTAAGCAGCTCATCTGCTAAGCAATAGTTCAGCAGTTCAAACCTACCAGCCACTCTGCTCCACTCCATAAACATTACAGCCTAGGAAACCCTACGAAGAGTCCCTGTCACATAAGGTCACTATGAGTAGGAACTGATCTGATGGCACACACAACTGTCTCACCCAAAAAAAAGGATAAATTGAGCACCCTTCCTGGGTAACTTTAAAGGGAAAAAAAGCAGAGATTTTTTTTTTTTTTTTAGTCCTTTATGTTATCTTGAAAAGCTGTCACAGAAAGATGGGGTTCCTTAGTGCCATTTTCAATGCATGTTCTGAGGAACCCCTAATGTTCCAATTCTAGGAGTAAGAAGGCTAGGTTTACCGCTTTGGATTCTAAGGGAGCAGTTCAAGTTTTAGTATTTGAATGTATTTGAGCAGGAACAACACTGATTAATGTCTCTACCCAGACCTCTCTCCTAAACAACAGAATCATCTGACACCTTCAACTTAGATATATAATAGGCATCACAACCTCAACAGTTCCAAAACCAATTTCCTACTCCACACCCTTCCACCTACATACACATAACACCTGCTCCTCATACACACACACACCTGGTCTTCCCACCTGAGTACATAGTCACCCTACCCTTTCCGTTGCTCAGGTCAAATCTCATCCTTGGTATTCTTTTCAAACCTCACATTCAACCCAGTAGGAAACCATGGCAGCTCAGCCTTCAAAATACACCTAGAATCTGAGGCCTTTTCTCTATCTCCATTCCTGCCACCTGGATCCAATCATCAACACTTCATGCCTCGATCACAGCAAGACTCCTACTGCCCCCTGCTCCCGCCCTTGCTCCTCCACAGTCTAGCCTTGTCAGTAGCCACAGTGATTCATTTAGAATATAATCCAATTGTGTCACTCCCCTGCTCAAAATTTTCCAATGCTTCCCAGCTCACACTGAGCAAAAGCTCAAATACCACCAAGCCGTACAGGACCCTACATCCTATGCCATGGCATGTCATGCCACGCCATGCCCCACATCACCACCAATAACAACACATTATCTCGACAGCCCTGTCTCCTGATGCTCTAGCCATCCTGCCCTGTTGCTTTTGCTTGAATCCTTCTGAGATGCTCCCACCGAGCTTTTGCGTTGGCTGTTCCCTGGCTGAAATCTTCTTCCCCCAACAACGCTTCACCTTTCTCAGAGACACACTCAAATGCCACCTCCTCAATGCAGTCTCCCCTTGCCTTCTACTTTAACTGGAACTCCCTACTTCCGCTCTGCCACTCTCTCCTGATCTCTTCCTGCTTTATGTTTACCCATAGAACTGATCACCATCTGACATGCTTTGTATTTTTGTCATTGCAAAACTCCACAAAAATAAAAATTTGTTCTAAGTTTTTCCTACTGTTGTATCCTCAGAACAATGCTTATTGTCGAAGGTAATAGGTACTTAATAAATGAATGAATGAAGAGGGACAAGTTTCAAATCACTAAATCTAGAATATTCCTTTTCACATTCCAGACATTTCAAAAAGAAACAGAGTGGTTGGCTCTAAGGATCCACCCTACCTTTCTCCTCCATTCCTTTGGTATTCCTGTTGATAGTCTGGCAACTGCCTTGAGAGCATCATACCACTAGGAAGAAAGAAGAAATTTGAGGAAGTGATAATGCTGACCTAGATACGCAGCGCTTACCCTTGTTCTCATCTGTGCACTCAGAGAGGGTGGTAGAATGTGTACGGTACACCGGGGAAGTGATACTGCTGGCCTGGATAAACACTGAAATCTGCCCTCCATAGCTGCATTCAGAGATTATGGTAAAATGGGTACAGTACACTGATGCAAATGGTCAAAATTTCTTCCAGCCAGGATTGGTCTGGGGGCTGTGACTGCCCCAGACCTCACCCACTGGAGTACACTGCGACTCATTTGCAAAACACACACACACACACACACACACACATTGGTTGGGAACCTCTGTTACACAAACCAAAACATATATTATGGGTTCAGAATAAAAGACATTTAGCCTCCCACCCCAACATCCACCATTAAAAGGGCAAAATGTATCACTGCAACTATAAACCCAGGCAATGTGTGGCTTATTTTACCTATAATTTTCAAAAACTGACTCACCTTATGCATCTAAAGATACTCATATGTTAATATTCCTACCACTTGAAAAATATATATCCATGTATGTTGTAGACACACCCCAAATGAAAGTGTGTTCAGTGCCAAAAATAAAATTACCTGCTGAAAACCATTTTGACCTAAAGATGGCTCAAGAGTAAACTTCAATTTTGTGTCAACTCCTAAAAGAAAAATAGAAAATTAGCTGTTATTTTTGGAGAAACTGAAGTACATCAAAAAAGTGAGATTAACCTGATTCTGTTAAATCATCATAAATTTCCTAACAAACACTGTTTTTAAAATACACAGAGGTGATATAATGTCACAAGCATAACTCCAGTCCCAGTGTGTATGTGCCCGGCAAGAATACTGCTTGTTAAAATAGAAAACTACCCTGTCTCTAAAATGGAACTTATTGTACAGGACTGCACTTTCCAGAGATACACAGATGTCTGCAATAGAGGAAAAGCAAAAGCGAACATGGCACCACAGGCTTTAGTAGTCACCAAGACCTCCATACAATTTTGGTTCCTAGACTCAGACCAAACATCTCGGGACATTGGCAATAAAGAAGTCCACATGGGTTTATCTTTAAAATGAGGATAGTAACATGTCAGATGATTGTTGTGATCATTCGCTCAGTGCTGTGAATCACCTAGCACAGTGTACTTAATAACAGTGAAACTAAGCAAGAGAATTCTCTACCTGGACAATTTTCTATCAAGGAACTTTGAGTTGCATATCAAAAGTCATAAAAATGCTATTACTCTCTTCGATCTTATGGAATAATCCATGATAGTAACTCCATTTGGAGATTTTAACATTTTGAAATTGTCTTGATATCCTTATGGACTAACTATAAGGCCTAAGGGCCAAAGGCCTGCCTATAGGCACAACTGAGAAGAGGCTGTACTAATCAAAGAACTGTATCCTGTCATTCTTGATGCTAAAATGTAATCAGGTACTCCTCTAACTGTGAAGAAAAAAAAAGGCAAAGTGTGTGTTTCAATATAGACTACAAGCTAAAAATAGAAACTAAGCTCTAATTCCAAGTAATTTTCAACTTTAGGTAAACTTCTTTGACTCAATACAAATATATGGAATGAAAGTAAATGCTCATAAATGGGGGGTAGGGGGGAGGCTATCTGTTTAATACTGACATGGGACTTTTATTAGAATTCCATATTCAGAGTATGTACTGCTATGATTGAAGTGAAAATTAACGGACACGATTTTTATTCCTCTTACCCGTCCCACTGCCACTGAGGCAATGCTAACTGTCAAGTGCTATGTACTATTTTTCCAAAATTGAAAAATCAATTAAATAACCTCCTTTAAATTACTCTTTAATGCCTTCTTACTTAAATGTTCAAAGCCCAAGAGATATCAAACATTAACAATAGCAAATTAGTTTTACAGATGCCCAAAATGAGGACATTTGTATTTGCTTCTAAGATGTGGACTGCGGATTAAGCATATTAAGAACCTCTCCACAGTATCCCCTGCTTCGATGTGAGGATAAGAACCATCTTCTGAATGTGAGTAACAATCATATATATATATATATATATAGCCAAGAGGCTGATATCAACCATGTATATATATGTAGAGCGAGAGCGAGAGCGAGAGAGAGAGAGAGAGAGAGAGAGAGAGAGAGAGACGTTCCAGATTTACCTACGTCCCTGAGAGTGCCCAGTTGCCCCTCCTGGCGCCCTGGAAGAGTGCCAGCAATAAATGAGCTGGGGCTTCGACGTCCAAAGCCAAGCTGTGGTGGAGAACTAAACTAAAGGCATCCAACCAATGCCTTGGTATTTCTTTTCAAAGATCTGCTGCTGAAACTAGACTCCGCCAGGATGGATAAGACGTTCTTCTCCAAAGGAACATAAAATACACGCACACTGTCTCATCTCTGTAGGCTTATCTAAATTCAGCCCTGCCCCAGTGCAAAGTGGCAGTGCAATGGCCACCACCAATGGTACAAAGTGTCCCTGACCCCATGGCAGGGATTTAAGCCACAATGCTGCGGACCTGGCTGAGGCTGCTGTCCCAAGGCAGGGTGCTGAACGGAGCAGCATGCACTTGCGATTTCCGCATTCTTATAACAAAGACCAGGATATTCCGTGCCCACTGCCCTCATTCCTATCACTGAAGGAAGTCCCGGTACTCTACATGTGTGCTCATCTGACGTTTCCAGGGCACCTGCTGGGTGTCCTGCTGGTCGCCTTCCCGCGCTGGGCTTGGTTAGCCAAAGCCACTATTTTCTCATGACCAAACTGAGTCAGAACGCTAAACTGGAACTGATCATTCACCACCTGCAGCAAAAGCTGCAATCAGGTCATTTTCACCCCTTTCTTCTAGCTGAAAAGGGAGAGGAGGCTTGTGTTTCATCTGATAATCACTACTGTTCCGGATTCAGAAATACAAAAAACACTTGGAACGTGGGAAGGGGATTTAGAGGGGGTGGGGTGGGAAAGGTAAAAGAAGACCGTGAATAAATACTAGTATCTGCAACTAGACACTTCCTTGGGGAGAAAAACAAAGAAACCATCCGGAAAGGCAGCGAGGCGGTCCAGCCTTGGGGACTCGGTGCCTCTGCTGTTTTCCCCAGCAGGTCCGGGATAGCAAGTCCCCTGAGCGTGGGGGACGGGGGCGGGATAACGAACCGCCTGCAGCCCAATCCGTGCCACTCTGGGCCACCCTCGCCAGACTCCTCTGTGCCCAGGCACCCGCACCAGTGCCAACGAGCTCAGAAAGCCCCGGGGAGGGGAGGGAA